ATCTATCTATCTATCTATCTATCTATCTATCTATCTATCTATCTATCTATCTATCTATCTATCTATCTATCTATCTATCTATCTATCCAGCTTTCTAGCTTTCTAGTTATCCCCTCTTTTTGATGTAGAAGAGACCCATTACAAATGATTGACTTTCACGATGGTCCTTTGTGTTTACTAAAGGTTCATTGTCCACCCTTCCAAGCTAGCACCTACTTTAAGGATTAACCCCCAAAGAGACAACTAGGAATCTCTTGCAAAAAGAGCTTTCCTCTTTCGTCCCCTTTTTGCCCCCTCTTCCCTGTAGCCAAAGGAGGGGTTTGTGGGGAGAGGGATTCCTCAAAGTTTCTGCACCGAGGAAAAATCTTCTTTTCAAAAAGTTTTTTTGGTGGGCAACTTGACAATTTGAAAGCAAAGGTGGTAATTTATTTTTTGTTTCTCTTTCGTGGCTTGCACCTTTTGATTCCACCTGAGGTCTGAACGATGCAAATGTTTCTTTTCTCTGCAGGATAATTTCATTAACCTGAGCTTCCTCCGACTCTTCCGGGCAGCCCGACTGATCAAGCTTCTCCGTCAGGGCTACACCATACGGATTCTGCTGTGGACTTTTGTCCAGTCCTTCAAGGTAAGGCTTCCCAAGACCATGAAGCCGACTCCTTGTCCCAACAAAACCCCTTTTATTTAGGTTAAAGTGGATTCCTCTCCACCAAAGTCCCACAAACAGCCTTTCATGAGATTTCACAACTACAGACCTTTATCAGGCTGGGAGAGTTGCCAGGCCAATATCTTCCAAATGCCATGCTGGAGCAGCAATTACTTGGCAAGAAGTCAGGATCAGATCTTCACCCTCATGACTTGAACTAATTGTCTCCTGCAAACCCCACTCCCCTTTTGCTCCTCTTTTATTCCCTCTGGGAGGGGCCATTCACCGTCCACCTGTGCCTTTACTCCCGAGTCAAGCCTTGTTCCTTAGCTGTTCCCTTCTCCTGGTAGCTCTGCGCCTACGCACAATGAGAACAGGCTCCAGCTGTTCTTCTTCCCCACTGATCTCTGACTCCGAAGGCAGCTGATAACTGTCGGGCGGCCCTGGCCCCATCTCTGTCTCCGACACAGAGCCCTCGTCAGAGCCTTCCCCAGACTCCAGGACTGGCCCATGTTCCTCCCCAACCTCCTCACTGTCCGAGTCTGCTGCCAGCTCCGCTGCCCGCTGATGGGCCACAACAAAAACAAAAACAAACCAACACAAGACATTTTTTTAAAAGGTGCATAAAAAATTCCCAAATACATACAGGTAGTCCTCAACTTACAACAGTTCATTTAATGACCATTTGAAGTTACAACATCACAGAAAAATGACTTAGGCCAGCCCTGAAACTAATGACTTATGACTGTTTTTCACACTTATGACTATTGCAGTCACGTGATCAGGCACTTGGCAAGTGACTCGTATTTATGATGGTCACAGTGTCCCAGGGTCATGCAATTCCCCTTTTGCGACCTCCTTACAAGCTAAGACAATGGAGAAGGCGGATTCGCTTAACGATGGTGTGACCAACTTAACAACTGCAGGGATTAACTTAACAACGGTGGCAAGAAAGGCCGTGAAATGGGGCAAGATTCATTTAACAAACATCTCCCTTAGCAACAGGAATCTGGGGCTCCATTGCAGCCAAGGACTGCCTGTCCACCTATGAAATGTGAGGTTGTGCAGATGTTGTGGTGCCCTGGGCTCTGCCGGGCGAGTCTCACCTCCCGCCTTTCTTCTCCCTCCAGGCCTTGCCATACGTGTGCCTCCTCATCGCCATGCTGTTCTTCATCTATGCCATAATCGGCATGCAGGTAAAAATCTGCTGAGCGGCGTTTAGAGCCTCCGCTCACCAGAGTCACAGAAGAGGTTTAGCAATGGGTTCAAGAAAAGCCCCACGTATCCTTTTGTAAACCCAACTTCCCCATGGAGGCGCTTGGAGAAAACTCGTCTTTTTTATTATTGCTGTTGCTGTTGCTGCTGTTTATTTTTTTAACTTGCACATATCATCTTCCGTTAAACAGTGTGTCGTCTGGATAGAAATGTCTCTGTGCTATTACAATCAACATTTGCAATATTCATTACATTGATAATAATTCTCTAATCTTATAATAATAATAATAATAATCAGCACTAAGACTCTATTCATTTCTCCCTCTTAACATATCTTCTAATGAAAACATAATACTATAATAGGTATAATAATCTTAACAATCATATTAATAATCATCATATTGCTTACATCTCCATCTTAACGTATCTTTTTTATTTTACTAATCTCCATTTATTTCTCACTTCTGTGTTTATTCTCCAACCATCCATAAAATAGCTCCCACGTCATATAATATTCCATTTTGTTCTTTCTCCTTGATTGCCAGTGTTCATCTATTCATTTCTGCACATTCTAATATTTTCCTAATCACATTCTCATCTGTAGGGATCTCGTCGCTTTTCCAGTGATGTAATGTTTTCCAAAGGTGATAATGCAGCATATGGATTGAAAGCCAGAAATATTTTTGTTGGGGGGGATTTTGCCCAAAACTTACAGTAGAGGAAATACATATTTAATCATACATGGAGAAAACTCATCTTGAAGAGTCGCCATCATCTCCACATCTTCTCTCTCTCTCCGTCTCTCCCCCTTTCCTTCTCTCCCCTTGCCCCCTCCCCCAGGTCTTTGGGAACATCGCTCTGGATGATGACAGCGCCATTAATCGTCACAATAACTTCCAAACCTTTCTGCAAGCACTAATGCTGCTTTTTCGGTGAGTCATTCTTGGATCCCGTACAGGAGAAATATTCTTTCTTTGACCATGTTTATCAACCACGCCAAGGAACACAGTGGCTCAGAGGCTAAGACGCTGAGCTTGTCGATTAGAAAGGTCGGCAGTTCAGCGGTTCGAATCCCTAGCACCGCCTAACAGAGTGAGCTCCTGTTCCTTGTCCCAGCAGCTTCTGCCAACCTAGCAGTTCGAAAGCACATAAAAAAATGCAACTAAAAAAATAGGGAACAGTGTTCCGTGCACCTTTGAAGGCGTTGAGTCCTGCCAGCCACCTGACCACGGAGACGTCTTCGGACAGCGCTGGCTCTTCTTCGGCTTTGGAATGGACGTGAGCGGCGCCCCCTAGAGCCGGAAACGACTAGCACGGATGTGCAAGGAGGGGAACCATTTGTCAACTCATAAAACATTCCTATGCCTGTTTTAGTAGTTGCCATAAAAAAAGGGCGGGGGGGGGGGGGGGGGAAGCAAAAGAACATCCCAACTCTTTATCTTTAAAAGATTGTAACTCAAAGACCAGAGTTTTTGCCCGTGAATATATTTAACTGGAGAACATGAATGAGGACACCCAGCCTGTGAACGTGCTCAATTGCAGAATCTGGTGTATGAGACACCCGGGGAGGGGAGGGGGGGCGAAAACAGGGTCACAGGTTACTGTAAACGATGTGTGCCAGAGTTGGCTTCATACAGGGCAGTGCCAGCACGTCCCTCTAATGAATCCTTTGAAGATTTTTGAAATTCGGCTGGAGAATTATGATTTAATTAGAGCGATTGCTGGAATGCTGACATCTTTACCTTTACCTTATCAACCATGCCATAATTTTAAACAATCTGAAGAACCATCGATTAAGATCCCAGGGTTACCTACTTACATCGCATGGCCCAGGTAGCAATAGCAATAGCACTTAGACTTATATACCACTTTACGGCCCCCTCTAAGTGGTTTTACAGAGTCAGCCCATCACCCTCAACCATCAGGATTCTCATTTTATCCACCTCGGAATGATGGAAAGCTGAGTCAACCAAGAAAGGCACCAGGTGTTATTTTGGGGGGATGTCATCCACTGACTAGCCTCACTTGCATGCATCGCCCCCAACCTCCTTTTCGCTGTCAGAGGCTTTCAGGAACCTCTTCTGCAGCCAGCAAGGCTTCCCTGAAGGTCTCTGCGGCCAAGAATCAAGCTTTGGATCGATCCAGAGCTTTCTTATTGGCTGCAGAGGCCTTCAGGAAAGCCTTGCCAGCCTTGCTGGCTGCAGAAGAAATGGGCCGGCAAGGCAGGTGTCAGGGTGTGCGAGGCCTGGCTACAACTGCCCAAAGGTAAGTAGTAGGGCAGCTCCACCTACCCCCCCCCCCACCTACCCTGACAGTAAGCCCTAGCTTAATTTTTACCCCTCCATCTGGAATGGGCAGGATCTTAATTAGGGCTTATATGGGGGGTAGGGCTTATATTGGGCGAGAACATGTAAACATCAAGCTAGGACTTACTTTCGGGGTAGGTTGTATGTTTGGGGAAACAGGGTAGTTCTGCCATCCGGGCTACATAATACAGACACTTGTAAGCTACTGAGTCCATTCTAGATCAGGTGATTCCTCCAATTCCTTTTCTTTTCTTTTCTTTTCTTTTCTTTTCTTGATTTCAGGAGCGCTACCGGAGAAGCCTGGCACGAGATTATGCTTGCATGCCTGAGCAACCAGCCCTGTGACGAGCACTCCAACCTCAGCCGGAACGAATGTGGCAGTGACTTTGCTTACTTCTACTTTGTCTCCTTCATCTTCCTCTGCTCCTTTCTGGTGAGACATTTCTCTCTCCACTGAACATGGTGCAATGCTCTAATGTATTCAAGAGCTCTGTCTCTTTCAGGCATAGTTTTCCTTTGGCCATGAAAAGTTACCCTTATTGTTCCAGTCCGTGTCCTCCTCTGCTGGTCTAAAAAGTTGGGAACTCATTTATCAACAATAACAAAAAAAGTTAAGAATCAGAATCGAGCTGGAAGGGACTTTGGAAGTCTTCTAGTCCAACCCTCTGCTCAAGCAAGAGACCCTTACAGAATCACAGTGTTAAAAGGGACCTCAGAAGTCATCTAGTCCAACCCCCTGCTTAAGCAGTAGACCCTATAGTATTTCAAACAGGTGGCTATCCATTCTCTTCTTAAAAGCCTCCAGTGATGGAGCACCCACAACTTCTAGTGGCAAGCCATTCCACTGGTTAATTGCCCTCACTGTTAGGAAGTTTCTCCATAATTCCAGGTTGCTTCTCTCCTTGATTATCTTCCACCCGTTGTTTCTTGTCTTGCCTTCTGGTCCAGTGGTGGGGTTCAAAACATTTTACTACCGGTTCTGTGGGCGTGGCTTGGTGGGCATGGCAGGGGAAGGATAGCGCAAAATCCCCATTCCCCCCCCCACTAACCTGCTTTCCAGCTCCGTTCTCCTGGGCAGGGCAACCAAAGGAGACCCAGCCGATCAGCTGAGATTCAATGGGAAGCAGAGAAGAGATGGGGTTGGTGGGGCCAGTCAGTGATGGGATTGGCCGGTTCTCCGAACTACTCAAAATTCCCACTACCGGTTCTCCAGAACTGGTCAGAACCTCTGGTCTGGTCTTTGGGATTCATTTGGATTAGAGTTAATACCTTTCCTCCTCCCTACCCTGATTTCACTCCCCCCTCCCTTTACAGATGTTGAACCTATTTGTGGCTGTAATCATGGACAACTTTGAGTACTTGACCCGAGATTCGTCCATCCTTGGACCTCATCACCTGGACGAGTTCATTCGCGTGTGGGCAGAGTACGACCCAGCTGCTTGGTATGTATGTCCCCTCCGTCGCCCATGTTTGGTCCTGAGGAAGTGGCGTTGGGTTGGCGGAGCTGCTTCTCCCACTTGCAGAAGATCAGCCTAGAAAAAAAAAGGATTAGCTGTCTATCCTCAAGGACAGCTGCATGGGGGTGTCCCCCCCTCCCCTGGTTTCAGGAGTTCAAGACCCATCAATATTTTGGGTGATGGAGATTTGGAAGCTGGGCCAGTATCCATATTTCTAATGATACAACACTCTGCTTTCTCCCATTGGGCATGCATTCCAGAGAGCCAAAGATCTGAACTCCAAAGAGCAATGATGATTACACCACCATGGCAAAAAATCGTAGGGAAAAACAACAGTCAGTGAAGGGAATGAGGTCCATGAAAGTCGGCTTAGTTTCCCTGTCTGTTGTTCTACTTACTGGTTGGTGCCTGTGCAGAAAACAGATAGCAGGTAGTCCTTGACTTACAACAGTTCATTTAATGACCGTTCAATGGTGCCATGCCACTGGAAGAAAGGCGACTCAGGACCGTTTTTGAAAAGTTACCACCTTTGTAGCATTCCCTGTGGTCCAACTTGGCAACTGCTTTGTACTTACGACCGTTGCTGCGTCCCAAAGTCACGTGAGTTCCCTTTTGGGACCTTCTAATGAGCAAAAGCCTGTGGGGAAGCCGGACTCACTTAACCGACAGCAGTAATCCACTTAACAACGGCGGGCGAGAAAGGTCGTGAAATGGGGCGAAACTCCCTTAGCAAATATCTCACATAGCAACATAAATTCTGGGCTCAATTGTGGTGTAAGTTGAGGACTAAGTTATTAGTTTTTAAGAAGAGACTAGACAGTCGCTTCGCTGAAACTGTACAGGTTCTCCTGCTTGAGCTGGGGGCTGGACTAGAAGACCTCCAAGGCCCCTTCCAGCTCCTATTCTATTCTAAAGTTATTGCTATTGTTTCGTCTGCTCTTATTTACGGAAACTAACAGATTACTTTTATGGGACTTCAGCAGAGTAATTTTCTAACTCCTGGGTTTCTGAAATGTCATTTTTTTCCCTCCAGTTTTTCTTCTCCTTGTCATGTTTATTGTGGGATGGAGACAGGAGTTTCCAGCAGAGATGTTTTATTTTTATTTTAATCACAGTCCCCGCCCCCCAGTTGAATCGCGACTTATAAATGTCTGTTTTCTTTCCAGTTGCCGCATACATTATAAGGATATGTACAATTTATTCCGAGCTATTGCTCCACCCTTGGGCTTAGGAAAGAAGTGCCCTCATAGAGTGGCATACAAGGTTTGAGAGAATTTTGGGGTGGGGGCGGGGAAATTCCAGTCCTTTGGGGGGGTTCGGAGGGAGGGGAGGGGAGGTTGCCTTGACTTGCAACTGAATGGGGTCTTTTGAGTCTGCACTGCAAAAAGAAAAAGAAAGATAGAAATAACGCTGGAATGAAACTAACCGGTTGTGTACCTAGAAGTGATGGGCACGCTTGATTTCCACCCCTATATGTGCCTGCTGCATTTTTCCTTCTGCCCAACGTAGATCTGCCTTGCTTGGATACAGGAGCCTTATGGGATTGTCAGTTTTAAAAATGTTTCCTTCTTCTAACCCAGAATTGGGAGAAGTTTTAGGTTAGCCCGGCCTCGCCCAAGCTCGAGGCAGATTTAACAGATTAACGGGGTTGGAAGGGACCTTGTAGGTCATCTAGCCCACCCAAGCAGGGAACCCTACATCATTTTGGAGAATAATTTGAGCCTCTCCTCCTCTCTGTGGCAGCCCCTCAAATATTGGAAGACTGCGATCACGTCTCCCCTGGTCCTTCTGTTAAGTAGACTAGCCAGGCCCAGTTCTGGCAACCGTTCTTCCTATGTTTTAGTCTCCAGTCCCCTCCTCATCCGGGTTGCTCTTCTCTGCACTGATGATTAAAAACATTAAAAATAACAGGCTGGAGGCTAAAAGATGTGAAGAACCGTTGCAGAAATTGGGTATGTCTAGCCTGGTGGAAAGAAGGACGTGGGGGAAGTGAGATGATAACAGCCTTCCCATCTTTGAGGGGCTGCCACAGAGAAGAGGAGGGAGCCAAGGCCCCTGAAGGCAGGAGGACAAGGAGCAGTGGATGGAAACTAATCAAGGAGAAAAGCAACCGAAACCTGGTTTTAAAGGGCGAACCAATAGTCAACTGCAATCTCGAATTCTTAACTAGGCTTTAAGAGCTAAGGAGAGCTTTTGGAGATTATTGTAGCAAAATACGGGCTAAATTATTGAAGAAGGATATGATCTATTTTTTTATATTAAAAAAGGAGTACAAGATGAAATCTTCAGTCATTGAGAAAGGAGATGTTTTATGTCGGTCAATTGTTGTAAAGGTGATGGGAAGGGAATTGTGTTTTCAGACTTCTAAGGTTTTGTTAATATAGAATAAAATAGAAGTAAGGTATCCTTGGTGCTCTCTAAGCTTGGTGGTTTTCTGACAGACGTTTTATGACCAAACTATGTAACATAATCAGTGCTAAAGTAGAATTAGTCATTTCATTGGCTTTTCTGTCTATCTATTTGGTAAGGCTGACATCAATCTTGCACATACAATTCTCCCACTGTCTCTTCTACAGCCTGAGAAACTGGGGAGGGTCCCTAAGCCTCTTGTCCCACCCATTTTGCAGCTGTGGGCCAGGCTGTCTCTTATCTTCCATCTCCAAAGGTCCTAAAGCTACGGCCTTATTTCTTGATTCATTCCTGAAGCCTTAATATTTGGATAATGTTTGCCACAGAAGAGGTCTGTCTGCCATTGGTTTCCATTGTAGCCCTTGCATGCAATTGAAACAGATCTCCCATCCTTCCGGGAAGGAAGGGAGGAAGGAAGAGCACTGATGATGTTACCTAGTTGGGTAATGAAACCTCTGCGAGAAAGCAACCCAAGCTCAGAGAATTCCAAGGACTCCAACAAACATTTTCCTTCAAGGACTGCTGACTGTCCCATAACGCTTCCTTCCACTTCTCCTTCAGATGAGCACTACCACTCTCCTTTACACCAAAATAACGCCTCCCCATCTGAAATCGAGCGCTGCCTTTCTCTAAAGGAGCCCTGTTAACGATTTCCTTCCTCCTACACTTTCCCCGGGGGATTCCACACCTCCTCTCTTCCTTTCCTATGGCCTGCCCTGTTTCTGTTTTCTCCCACAAAAAATAAAATGAAATCTTGAGAGCGGATGGCAGGAGAAACCCAAAAGAGATGGACCCGGAGACGCCCTCCTCATCCACCCTCCTCCCCGGTTTTGTTACCTTCACCGTGAACCAGCCTTCCAGTGCACTAATTAACCTGAGAATTCTCTTGTCTCCTTGTCTGCTTCCCTCCCCTCCCCCCCCATTATGTCTGCGGCTGGCGCTTCTCTCTTGCGTTGTCTTACCTTCCCCGTCTGTCTCTCTGTCTCCCCCTTCTGGTTCCAAGTGGGCGGATCAGTTACACCGACATGTACGAGATGCTGAGACACATGTCGCCACCACTTGGCCTGGGGAAGAACTGTCCCGCTCGTATTGCCTATAAGGTTAGATTTGTCCCACCAGACCCCCACCGGGGGGCGCCTGTGTTCCGTCTAAGCTTCGTGCCCCTCCTTCCTTCATGGCTCTCATGCTTTCTGCAGAACTCTTTCCTCCTCTGGTCCAGGGGTGTCCAACTCCATGGCCAAAGGGACTTCCAAGACTGGACTTCTCCAATGGGAGACAAAAAATGCTCACCCTGATTGGATGCTCTTTTCACGGGGTCGAAAAGAAGAACGGACATACCTAAGAAGGCCAGCCCTGCACAATTGGCTTAAAACACTAGGAATTCCTCTCACCTATTTCAGTTAATATTTTCACCTCTTTTTCCATTAAAAGGTGGAAGAGTCCCTTATTTGCCAAAGCCCAGGCAGGTACCTAATCGCCCCCCCCCCCCCCCCCCACCAGGTTTGTGACGACTTGCCGTGGCCAACGTGCCGAGACTAATTCTCTGTGGGACAACAACTCGCTGTGTTGAGTTGAATAGAACATCCAAGAAAAAGTGGACCAGAATCACCAAAGAAAGAATGCCAAAGGCAGGACAGAATGAAATGTGCATGAGAAAAATTAAAATATATATTTTTAATCATTTTAAATCAGGGGTGTCAAACTCGATTTCATGGAGAGCCGCATCAGGGTTGTGTTTGACCTGGGGGCGCTGGGGCGTGTGGCCAGCTAGATGTCACTCATGTGGGGGCGCCTGTGGGGGCCTGAGGGCTCTGCCAGAGAAATGGGCTCCCGGGCTCCGTTTCGGCTGCAACGGCCTCTTGCAACCCTCTGCCGCATACAACCCTCCCGAGCTCTGTTTTCTCCGCTGGCAGAGTCACCGCAGGCCAGTCCTTCCCTGTTTCCAGGGTGGGCCAGACTGAAGCCCCCCGCGGGCCTTGAGTTTGACACCCCTGTTTTAAAGAATTGAATTGTTGAATTGTCCATCAGCAAATTGTCCGGTGGCAAATTGGCCGCGTTGAGTTGCTCTACAGTGAGTTGGCTGTGGTGAACTGGCAGTGCCAGGTTGACTGTGAGAAGTTGGCAGTGGCGAGTTGGTTGCAGGAATTGTCCCACTCCACCCATAGCTCTGTAAAGCAGCCTAATAAGACCCTTCGCCTTTTATTTATATCTCGCCTAGGATTGTTGCAATGACCAGTTGGAGAAGGTCAGTTGTAAACCATCTTCTCTGAGGAGAATACCTGTAGGGTATCCAGCTCTCATTCGGGTTAGAATTACAGTCCTAAATCATTTGATTTGGACACCCCTGTTCTAGTTTCAAACCATTCCATCTGAACCATCATTCTCTTCATGCTTGTTCTTTTTTTTTTAAATCCCTCTCTTGATCCATGTTTCCAATTTCCTTCAATCCTTTTTGTCTGCTTCTAGGGGGAAAAAATCCACATTTTTGGTTTTCGATGCCAAGGTGTGTGGGAATGTATCCCAAAAGAAGGGAACTCTTTCCTTCTCAGAAAGTCTCACATCCCTTGAGTCCGAAGAACCAGAAGCTTGCTAACACCCACAAATTGGCCCAGGATTAAAAACATAAACTAAGTTAAAAAGGCCGTTGCGATCAATTGCATTATAGCTTTTCACCACTTGGCCCAGATGAATGAGGAGCAGAAGGCAAGTCAGGTTGAGAAGTTAATTGGCAGCCAGGACATGAACTCTGAAGCTCAACTCAGTTGCCAGTGGACTCCATTGTCCCTCCTCACCCTGGACTGAGGTGGCTGCTTAAAGGCATTGCAAAGTAGAGGAAGAATCAACCTTTGGAGAACAGGAGAAATGTGAGCCCTGTCCTTCAAAGGCGGAGAGCCTTCCTTGCTATCCGTCCTTGCTATCTTAGAGCTTGACATTCTGCCTGGCCAGGAGGTTATCCAACAAAGATGTTGCTTGAGCCCTGAATAGCTTTCTCCTCCATGCCCTGATCTGGATGTAGAAGGCTACCTTCTCATGGAGCAGGTGACTTGAAGCACAGACCATCGTTGGTGTCTTCAGAAAACCAGCTTGAGAGAGAGAGAGAGAGGGAGAGAGAGTTCTGCCTTTCTGTTCCTTCTGGCTTCTTGTGATTTCTACATCCCTCCCATCTCTTTATGTTGTGTCCGTGTCTTCTGGAGATAGAAAGATGTTGTGATTGTCCTCCCTGTCCAGTTGCTTCCTTGTTTCCAAGAGCTGGTTCTGCCAACCATGGTTCTTTGTCATCTCTTTTGCTCTCAACTGACCTTCTGACATGTACATGGTGTTTCTCCTCCACATGCTTCTTACGGGCTATAATTGATCCATCCTTCTGTGTGTCTGTATAGTCACCTTCTTGGCATGATCCCAACTATGGAGATACTGTGCATGAGATCTTCCAAAGTGCATGTGTGCATCTGTAGCTGTAGTTCTGCTATGTCTCAGGAGAGCATTATCTCAAAGAAACCCTAACCTTCCCTCACCCTTCCTTCCTTCCTTCCTTCCCTCCTTTCCTCTCTCCTTCACTCACTCTTTTCCTTCCTTCCTTCCTTCCTTCCTTCCTTCCTTCCTTCCTTCCTTCCTTCCTTCCTTCCTTCCTTCCTTCCTTCCTTTCTTCCTTCCTTCCCTGGCTTGCATGAAAAAATACAACCGACACTTGTGCTGAATTTTTCCTGTGCTGAAGGTTTAAAACAAACAAACAAACCACTCCAAAACTGTGTCTGAATCTTTCTCTCTGGCCCATGACGAAGACCATCTCAGCACAGGAAAAGTTAGCCTTGTAGAACATTGTTGTCCTCTTTTACTTTGGTGGGGGGTAGGAGGTGGAGGTTGGGAGTGGGTGCCAAGGGATATAGCCTTGATGGGAAGACTCTCTTTTCTTCAGCGTTTGGTCAGGATGAACATGCCCATCTCAAATGACGATTTAAGTGTCCACTTCACATCAACGCTAATGGCCTTGATAAGGACAGCCCTTGACATCAAACTTGCATCAGGTAAGGCGATGACTGGCTAGATGACCTCCAAGATCCCTTCCAGCTCTGTTCAGATGGATTGAGGATTTCCCCCTGAAATTAGATCTTGTTTCTTTGCTTTTATCTAACAGGCATGCTGCAACATCAGTGTGATGCTGAGCTAAGGAAGGAGGTCTCGGTGGTTTGGCCCAATTTGTCCTCCAAAACTTTGGATCTGTTAGTGCCACCTCATAAACGTAAGTGCTCCAAACCCTTTTGTGTCTGTGCAAGTGGAAAGAAGCATGAATTGCATCGCCGTTATTACTTAATGCTACTCAGAGAGCCAGTGTAGTGTAATGATTAAGCAAGGCATTGGGTTAGAAATCAGGATACTGGGAGTTTTAGTCCCACCTGAGGGACTTGTCCCAGCAGCTTCTGCCAACCTAGCAGTTCGAAAGCACGTAAAAATGCAAGTAGGAAAATAGGGACCCCTTTTGTGGGAAGGGAACAGCGTTTCTCTGTGCACTTTCGAAGGCATTTAGTCCTGCCAGTCACACGACCACGGAGACGTCTTCGGACAGCGCTGGATCTTCTTTGGCTTTGGAACAGAGATGAGCAGTGCCCCCTAGAGCCAGAAACGACTAGCATGGATGTGCAAGGAGGGGGACCTTTACCTTTAACACGCAAAGCCAGCTGAGGGACCTTGAGCACTCCTCTCTTTACAAAGAAGAAGGTAGTGATGACAAACCTCTTCCCAAAAAACTCTTGCCAAGAGGACCTCAAAGTTGCATCCAGGTAGTTGCCAAGAGTCCGAATTGACTTGAAAGCACAAAAATACCACAATGGAAAACAACCACCAGTCCTCCTTTATAAGTTTGTTTTCCTCCAGCAAAGTATCAGAAAAAAGACCAATATTTAATATGTTTGTTGGGTGGAGAACATCCGTCTAGTTAAGAACATAACAAAGCAGTTTTATCCAACTTGGTCCCTTCCAGAGGTGTTCAACGGCAACTCTATGTGCATGGATAAGGAGGGCGATGGGTATTGTAGTTTGATCCTTGGAAAGTGCCAAATTGGAGGACACTGGTTTGAGTTCAGCTGCAACTTTCAAATGTTTGACTTCTTGACTTGTCATAGAACCTCCAACTGCAGTTCATTTTGTTTCCAATTGCCTCCATATCTTGTGAATTGATTTTCTGCTCTCTGTGGCTTCTTCCCTGATTAGCTGAAGCCATGACAGTAGGGAAGGTTTATGCAGCCTTGATGATATTTGACTTCTACAAACAAAATAAAAACACCCGTGATACTTCTCACTCAGGGCCTGGAGGTCTCTGTCAGGTAAATATCCATCCATCCATCCATCCATCCATCCAACTACCTATCTCCCTGGCCATGGATTCCATGGGGTTCAGTGCTTCTGTCAACTACAGTCCGTTCTTTGCTATGTCCAAAATAGCAGAAAGACAGGTGATCCAGGCCCAGTTCTGGTCACCGTGATACAAAGAAAGATGCTGAGGAGAAGATCAACAAAGATAATTAAGGGTCTGGAGGCCAATGAATGGTTGAGGGAACTAAATATGTCTGGTCTGTTAGAGAAGGACGAAGGGTGACACAATAAGTGTCTTTTAGTACTTGAGGGCTGTCACAGAGAAGATGGGGTTGACCTACTCTCCAAAGCCCCCTCTAAAGAGGGCAGGACAAGAAATAAGGGCGGAAGCTTGTTAAAGAGAGATCCAACCTAAAACTAAGGAGAAATGTCCTGACAGTGAGAACAATTAACTGGTGGAATGGCTTGCCTCCAAGTGGTTTTCTTGCAAACATGTCATTACTCAGTTGTGGGTGCTCCATCAGTTGAGGTTTTCAAGAAAAGATTGGACATTCATTTGACTGGGATAGAATAAGGATGGCCTTAAACAGGGGGTTGGACTAGAAGACCTCCAAGGTCCCTTCCAACTGTGTGAATCTATGAAATCCACTCTCTCCTCTCTCCTCCTTCTAGACTGGCACTGTTTCCCTTTTCCATCCGCTGAAAGCAGCCCTCGAGCAAAGCCAGACAGGATTCCCCAATGCTTTTCTGCGTCAAAAGAGCTCCGCGTCACTCAACAATGGGGGCGCCCTGTAAGTACTCCCCCTCCTCTTTTTCATCGCTTCAACCTGTTGTGGCCCGACAGCAACCAGCAGAGCTGGCAGTAGATTCGGACAGTGAGGAGGTCGGGGAGGAACCTGGGCCAGGCCTGGAGTCTGGAGAAGGGTCTGACGAGGGCTCTGCATCGGAGGCAGAGACGGGGCCAGGGCCATCCGACAGTTATCAGCTGCCTTCGGAGTTGGAGATCAGTGAGGCAGAAGAACAGCTGGAGCCTGTTCCCAGTGTGCGCATGCGCAGAGCTGCCAGACGAAGGGAACAGCTGAGGGACAAGGGTCGACTTGAGATTAAAGCCACAGGTGGACAGTGAATGGCCCCTCCCCTACAGTATAAAAGAGGAGGGAAAGGAGGGGTGGGGCTTTGCAGGAGACAATTCGTTCATCCCGGCATGCTTGCCAAGTATTGCGGCATCTGAAAGATATCAGCCTGGCCGCTCTCCAAGCCTGATAAAGGTCTGTAAGTGGGAACTAGCATGAAAGACTGTTGGCCAGGATTTTGTTGGAGAAGAAACTCATTGTAACTTAAATAAAAGGGGTTTATTGGGATGAGGACTCAGCTTCGTGCTGTTCGGGGAAGACCAGGCCAGAATACAACCTGGCCTAAGGCAGAGAGTTGAACACTTCCAGCTGTGGACAGAGCCAGCGGTTTGACAAAATGGCACAAGTATCCGTTTTGTTGGAGGATGTGAGTCGTTTCCTCCTTCCGGTGTTCCATGTTGCGTCAACCCATTGCTGCTCATCCAGATGAGGTTCTTTGACAGCTTCTCTTCTTGTGTTGCTCTTTTCTAGTCTTGTTTTTTTCTTATGACTACAACTGAGCCCAACTTTTCTGTGGCTAAGGAAAACGTTTTGTTAAGTGAATTTTGCCCGATTTTACAAATTTACTTTCCGCCATTGTGAAGGGAATAGTTGCAGCTGTGAAGTGAATCTGGTTTCCCCCGTTGGGATGCTGCGACTGTCATAAATATGAATCAGTTGCCAAGTATCTAAATTTTGATCACATGACCAGGGGGAGGTAGAGTAGAGTAGAATAGAATAAGAATAAGAGTAAGAGTAAGAATAGAATAGAGGATAGAATAGAGAATAGAATAGAGCTGGAAGGGACCTTGGAGGTCTTCTAGTCCAGCTCCTTGATGGTCATAAGTCACTTTTTTCAGTGCCATTCCAACCTTGAATGTTCACTAAATGAACTCTTGTAAGTCAAGGACCAGCTATGGTTGCATACAACTGATTCTGAAGAGAACATCTAAAGATAAACCTAGAACATTCCAAGTCTCTCTGGATTCCAATTGCAAATAAGCAAAAAATGCTTCTGTTTTATGGTTCTTTCTCAGCCCTCACTAGTTCAACCTGTCTGTGTTTTTTAAGAGCCTCTTCTCTTCTTTTGCAACAGGCCAATGCCAGAAGGAGGAGGCATCAAAGAATCGGTTTCCTGGGGGATCCAACACACCCAGAACATGTTTTATGAAACTAGGGCACCAGCGTTTGAACGAGGCCATTCGGAGGAAATTCCCATCCAGCAGGCAAGCAAGAGGGTGGAGATACAGCATGCAGGAGGAGAGGAAAACATAAGAATTTTCCTAGAAGATCTTAAAGTTTTATTTCTTCACTTTACTTCTCAGTTTGGCCCTACATATTTAGCAGAAACCCAAATTTTGGAATTCTTTCATCTTTTAAAAGAGTGTTGATTGAATGAGCTGCTTCGTTTGCAACAGAAAAAAAGGGAGAAATTTGGGATTCCTAGATGACTCAAAGTGATAAGGATGGGGGAAAGCATAATGCAATAAATTAAGAAAATTTGGAGCTCAAGGTTGAACTGTAGGGTCCGGGGTGCCCTTTGAGCTTTCATTACCCAACTAGGTAACATTATCAGTGCTAGAAAGGAGGGAAGTTTGAGGGGAGGGGGAGGAGGAGGAGGAGAAGGAGGATTCTTGAGACCATGGTGCTCTCCAAGCTTGGTTGTTTTCTTGCAGACATTTCGGTACCAAACTAGGTAACGTCATCAGTCCTAGAAGGGAGAGAAAGCAAACTCCCTTTTAGCACTGAGGATGTTACTTTGATGGGTCATGAAACATCTGCAAGAAATCCACAAAGCTCAGAGAGAACCAAGGACCCTGGAGATCACAGACAAGCCAGCTTCTCTTTTCTACTGTTGTTCATCCCATCTTCTTGATGGTCACATTCTGCACATTTATTTTTTACTTGTCACTCATCATCTACATTTTTATTCTATGGTGGCATAGAATTATAAACTTAGACAGCTTATCATTCAAGGGACACAATATCAAAATAAAGTGGGGATGGAGAAGAAGAGGAAGAGGAAAAATAAAGGCGCCAGACCTGTGACATAAAAACAGCTCCTACAGGGGGGCTTTGTGATGGAGCCTGGGCACCAAGGACAATTGTCACTACAGGACGGAGAGATGAAGGTTGCTGATGTAGACAGACAGCAGTTGCAACTACAGGGAGTTTTTGCAGGCAACTCTGTCCTTGGAGTACCCATCGCAAAGGATCTAAGTGCTAGAGCCCACTGTAACTACATTGCCAAAAAGGCAAGAAGAGTTGTTCACCTAATCCTACGTAGCTTCTTCTCTGGTAATATTGTACTGCTAACTAGAACATACAAAACCTTTGCTAGACCAATTCTCGAATACAGCTCCTCTGTCGAACCCACATTGCATATCAGACATTAATACAATTGAGCGAGTCCAGAGATATTTCACGAGACGAGTCCTCCACTCCTCTGCTCGCAACAGAATACCCTACACCACCAGGCTTGAAATGCTGGGCTTGGACAACCTTGAACTATGCCGCCTTTGGTCTGACCTAAGGGTAGTACACCAAATTATCGGCTACAGTGTCCTACCTGTCAATGATTACTTCAGCTTCAACCACAGCAATACACGAACACACAATAGATACAAACTCAAGGTAAACCGCTCCAAACTCGATTGTAGAAAATGCGGCTTCAGCCACAGAGTGGTCAGTGTCTGGAATGCACTACCTGACTCTGTGGTTTCTTCCCCAAACCCCCAAAACTTTAATCTCAGGCTGTCCACTGTTAACCTCACCCCATTCCTAAGAGGTCTGCATGGGGCGTGCATAAGCGCACCAACGTGCCTACTGTCCCTGTCCTAATGTCTCCCTTTTATTCATACCCATTTCATGTCATCATAATCATGTTCTAATTCTATTTGTTATCTAAAACATGTTTGACAAATAAATAAAATAAAAATAAAATAAAACATTTTGTAGGCAAAAGGCAATAACTCCTGTTATTCTGTCGTTGTATTTTCCAGGTTGTAGAAATGCGAGAAATCAGCCCAACTTTAGCCAATGGGGAACATCAGCCAGGCCTGGAAAGCCAGGGGCGAGCGGCCTCCATGCCTCGGCTGGCAGCCGAAACTCAGGTGAGCACTCGGGTCATCATCTGGGACCCTTGGTGCTCTTTCCGGATGGGCGATTTTCTGGCAGACGTTTCATTACCAAACTAGGTCATATCATAACAGGGAATGAAAGGCCAACCGGAAGGAGCTATCCAGACCCTCCAGTTTCCAAGGCATAACTCTGGATGTTTCCAGAAGCATCTGGTTAGGGGGCTCCTAGAAGCCACCCACATTTTGGGCACCGTCTTAGAGCCTTTCTCCAAAAAGAGGAGCTGCCCTAAGACTCCTTTCTCATCATCGGAACAGTGAGAGTGACGTAGATGTCGCCAATAGGTTCAGAGCCCATCGGTGTGCTTTTCGAGACTGCCTGGTCTACCTTTCCTGGGGAAATACGTTGGAAAATCCCATGAGGGGGCATATATACTTAACCATTGCCATAAAATTATGACAGGCATGAGAAGTGCCTGTCCTTTAGAGTGGTGCGGTGGCCTAGAGGTGGAGCTCTCGCCTCACAATCAGGAGGCGGTGAGTTTGATCCTGGGTAGAGGCAGATATTTCTCTTTCTCTGGGTACACTGAGAATAGATGTGCAGAACAAAACTTCACATCGGTGACTGGGAAGGCATCCGGCCAGTAAACACTCTGCTAGCTCCATTCAGTTGCCCAGATTCCACCCCAATGCAAGGGATTATGGGGTTGTTAAATGAAGAGAATGATGAGAAGTGCCGGTTGTTTCATTACCCAACTAGGTAACATCATCCGTGCTAGCGGTGGTAATCGATGGATGGCGATGGATGAATCTGGATGGCAGCTAGCTTGTGGAACATCACCTTGCTACCTGCGCTCATTGAGAACCTTCTTTTCTTGCAGCTTCCTTTGAAAACCATACTCGTCCCGCCATCTTTTCCTCATGAATAACTGCTGACTAATGCTCATTTCTGTCTCTTGTCTCAATTCACCCACCCCTTCCTTGGCTTTCGTGGATCTCATTCTCTGCCCCTCCCTCCCTCCCTCCCTCCTTCCCTCCCTCTCCTTGGTCATCTCGTCTGTCACGTGCCTCCTGGGATGTCTGACTGTTGCTGGTTTGGGACCCATGCCATTTTTTTCTTGCAGAGGAGCAAAACACGGTCACCGGGGCGATATCTATCAGTATGTAGTTTGTTTGAACCCCCCTGTCCTGTAAAATCTAGTCAAGGAAGGGTTTAAGTGGATCCCCTTCTTGGTGGCTTTTTTTCTTAAGATGGAAGAAATCACACCATCTGGAGGCCCTAAGTCTTCATAGCTCAGGGCTGAATATTGGGGTCCTGGGTGCTCTCTGAGCTTGGTGGTTTTCTTGCAGATGTTTCATGACCCAATCAGGCAATATCATCAGTGCATCATCAAGCTCAGAGATGCGAAAGACTTTTAATGGAAAGGTTTCGTAGGAATTAACTTAGAACTAAACATCCATGGAGTTTCCTAGTCATCCATCAGGTCAGGGTTGTCCCAAAGGTGCTTTTTCGAGAGGCAACTGGACTTTCTGGGTTTTCTTTGAAGACATTTAGCTTCTCATCCAAGAAGCTTCTTCGGTTCACCTTCAGTTCACTTCAGTTCAACTGAAGAATCTTTTTGGAGGAGAAGCGAGGCATCTTCAAAGAAAAACAATTGCCTGTTGGGGAAAAAAAAACACCTTTGGGACTTAGGAGGAATTTCCCGACATAGAGAACAATTAACCAGGGGAGCGGCTTTCCCTCCAGAAGTTGTGGGGGCTCCATCACTGGAGGCTTTCAAGAAGAGGTTGGATGACCGTTTGTCTGCAATGGGATAGGGCGGGTATCAGCAACCTGCAGCTCTGGAGCCGCATGTGGCTCTTTGGGCCCTCTGCTGTGGCTCCCTGTTGGGTGATCCCACCACTGGCTGGCCACGCCCCTCACCCTCCTCGCCTGGCCTGAGAAGGTAAAACACAAAAAACAGAAATGGGAGGGAGAGAGGGAGAGAAAGAGAGAGAAAGAGAGACCCATTTCCCACAGAAAACACTGGGAGCCACAAAACCTGGATGGGCGTGGCAGGGAGGTGTGTGTCATGTGACTGGGTGGGAGTTGAGTTGGCTACTTCCACCCAGGTTTTGAGGCTCCCAGTATTTTCTGTTCTGTGGGAAATGGGACCAAATGGCTCTTTGAGTGTTTAAGGTTGCAGACCCCTGATATAGGGTGTCCTGCTTGAGCAGGGGGTTGGACTAGAAGACCTCCAAGGTCCCTCTCAACTCTGTTCTTCTACTAAAACAAATGCACACGGTCCAGAGGTGTGAAGGGAGAGGTGCTATCTTTGGACGGTGTACATCTGATCCACTTCTCTGCATTCTCTTTCTCTCTCTTCCTCCTTCTTGCCACAGCCCATTCCAGACAACAGCCCCATGAAGCGCTCAGTCTCCACGCTCAACCCACAGCGTCCACGTGCCACACATCTTTACGAACATGCCCGGCCAGCTGAACACACCCACCACCATCATCACCATCGTTGCCACCGGCGGAGAGAGAAGAAGCAGAAGTCGGTGGACAAGCCACCCAATCACTTGATTGAGGGTGAAGCTCCTGGTAAGGGCGCTGGGATGACCCAGGGCACGGCACAGAGGGAACTGTCATGCCCCCGTCGGAGTCTGAATCCGAGGAGGAAGACGAACAGCTGACAGGGAGCGGGAGAGTGTCTCCATTGGCTGTGGAGGAAACTGGGGAAGAGCAAAGTCAGGCTGGGCAGAGCAGGGGAGAGGTAGAACAGGGGAGAGGGGGTTCAGAGGAAGAGCAAGGCCCACCCCCCTTCATCCGAGGGCACGCAGGAAGAATGGAGAAGAGAGCAATGTGGGTTGCATGGCTTACGAGGGAGGAAAGGGCCATGATGCTTTTCACAAGGGTCTCCTGAGGAGGGAGTTTAAAGGAGAGGCAGTTTGGGAGGAGCGTTTGTTGGAAATGTTGAGTTTATCTCATGTTGGCTGCTGTTATGTGAGTTCCTGGCATCCTCCCAACTGGTTTGATTTACTGCCATGTTACTTCACTTCTGGAACTCCTTATCTTGCCCTGCCGGATTTATTACCTTTTCTTGTTTTGCTGAATTCATAGTTTAAAGTTTTCTGTTTATAACATTTTGGACTGGAATATCTGTAGTCAAAGGCTGTTGCAGGTTCCTGGGAGAGTTTTTCTCTAGACTGGAAGGTAACTGGAACATTGAGGGCAAAGTTGGAGCTAATAAAGGGACCCTTACTTATTATTCTGGCTGTGTTGCCTTTGTGCACGCCCTGGGTCATCACAGGTAACACAGGCAATTAGCAGTTCAAACTGCCCCTTTATTGCTCCAAATGTTCCCCAAATGCTCCCACATTTCTGGCAAGTCTCAGCAAAATAATGACACACATACACATACACCTCCAGCAGCCTCTGGCTGTGAGCACCATGGCTGCAAAGCAAGAAATGCAGAAAGAATGCAAGGAATCCAGGAAAGTTCAAACGGTTGGCTCTCAACACTCCAGGAATTCAGTGTTTGTTACCGACAAATGCCCCTCCCCGCAGCGTCTCCTGAAGTCTCAGTCCCCAGATATGCCTTGTGAAGAGGGGCGGGGCGCTCTCCTCCCAAGTAGTTGGGTTAGTCTGCGCTGTTCTCGCCTTCTCTCCACTCTCCATGCTCGAGGATCGGGAGGGGAGTGGTCCTTGCTCATTGCCTTAGTCCTGTCTCTCAGGTTCACTGCTTAGCCTCCCCTGGTCATCCTGCCTACAAGCCGTCCCAATCCAGAAAGGCTCTGGCCTGACTGGGCCTGCTCCTCCCCATTTTCCTCCCAAGCCAACAAAGCCACCCCCTCAATCTCTGTCAGCTCCCATTCTGGCTCGTCTTCCTCCACAGAGTCAGGCTTCGATGGGGCATGACAGGCGCCTTCTATTTCTCCGGCTTGGTTCTCATTGTAGAATTGGCTGAGCATGAAATTTTGTCAACAGCTTGCTCCAAGTTGGATATCTTTCAGATGTGTGGCCTTCCGCTCCCAGAATCCTTAGCAATGGTCGTGCTGCCTCTAGGATTCTGGGAATTGAAATACGTATACTTACATAGCTAAGAAGATCTGCCTTCCATTCTATAATCTCTTTGTCGCTCAAACTCGATTGTGTATTATATTGGAGAGTCCCAATCCAATCTTCCTAGCAGAGAGGAATATGTCAATGTTGCTTAGATTTTTCAAATTAAAAATTGGATTCATTTTAAAACATCAAGTTAGAGTCACTCAATTCAGTTGATTTTGCTGACTTGCATTTATTCTACAGTGGTACCCAATGAAAAGTCTACATGCCGTCTACTTGAGGGACTGTCATAGAGACGAGAGGGGCTCCGTTTTCAGTTGCAATAGCCTCCTGAAACCCTCTGCCAGCTAAAACAGAGCTCAGGGACGATGTGCTTGATCCTCCCGAGTGCCATTTTCGCTGGCAGAGGCACCACGGGACTGTCCTTCGCTGTTTCCGTGGCGAGCCTGTGGGCCAGATCTAAGCCCCCCGTGGGCTGGATCCAGCCCACAGGCCTTGAGTTTGACACCCCTGGACTGAAGACCTCCAAGTCCCCTGCCACCTCTGCTAGTCTGCATTCTGTATTCTGCACCTCTGTTGGTAGGTCTTCATGCTTAAGGATGCTTAGGAGGAGAACCTTAGTTGAGGATGACTTGCTTACAATGGTTGGAATCTGGTGGCTTCTTGTTGTCTCCCCAGCAGGAGAGGCCCCCTCCAAGTCCAAAAGGCAGGAGCGGGGCCGGTCCCAGGAACGGAGAGTCCATTCTTCCTCTTCCTCTGAAAAGCAACGCTTTTACTCCTGCGACCGCTATGGGAGTCGGGACCGTTCTCAGCCCAAGTCCTCTGAATGCAGTCGGCCTCCATCTCCTGGTGGAGGGCAGGACCACGAGACCCAGAAACAGGTGAGAATGGGAGGGGGAGGGGGGAGAGAGAGAAGGAGTGAGAAAGAGGGTTCCCTAGGACCTCTGATCAGCCTTTGGATGTGGTTGGACTCAAGTTCTCTCATCCCCAGAGAGTGAAGGCACTATGGTAGCCTTTCTAAGCAGAGCAGAGCAGAATCATGACCAGATGCGCTAATTTTAACTATGTGAATAGATGAAAGGACTTGAGGTTGATCTGGAAGCATGCAGTGGATCTCCTGATTTTTCAAGGTGGATCACCTGGCTTTCCGGTCTGTTAGATTGTCTGCTTCCCCAGTATTGTCTTACTGGTTGTCTTCATTTGGAATCCTTTCTCCTCCTGGTTGGTTTCCTGTATTTTTCTGTCTGTTCAAATGTTTCTGGAGCAGTCTCCCTGTCCTTGACTGTGCACGTCTAAACTCTCTTTTTCTTTTTGTTTTGTTCTTTTGTTTTTATCCTATGATACATTTCTCTGTTCATATCATTCATTCTTCTGTCCATTGTGTTTTGACACTCTACTCCAACATGTGACTCTGTGTTTGTCTGGTATTCTCATTATTGCTCACTGTCATTCTTCTCCTCCTCCTCCTCCTATTTCTCCTTCTCTTTCTCTTTCTCCTCCTTCTCCATATCTTCCTTTTCCTTCTCCTTCTTCTCCATATCTTCCTTCTCCATACTTTCCTCCTCCTCCTCCTCCTCCTCCTGGTTTTTGTTTTGTTCATTTACTTTCTTCCAATCTTCATGTAGGGCAGTGGTTCAGTTAACGGGAGCCCCCTGCTGTTGACCTCTGGTGCTAGCACCCCATGCCGTGGTCGGAGGCAGTTGCCGCAAACTCCACTGACTCCACGTCCCAGCATTACCTACAAGACTGCCAACTCCTCGCCTGTGCATTTCTCTGGGTTCCAGACTGGCCTGCCAACCTTCTCCCCGGGGCGCTTGAGCCGGGGTCTCTCTGAGCACAATGCTTTGCTGCATGGCGACTCCCAGGGACCCTCCCCAACCTTGATGGCACGGATCGGTTCGGACCCTTACCTGGGACACCGAGAAGAGAGTGACAGTCCATACCATACGATGCCTGAGGACACGCTCACCTTCGAGGAGGCAGTGGCCACCAATTCAGGGAGATCCTCCCGGACCTCTTACGTCTCCTCTCTAACGTCCCAGTCCCATCAAGTCCGCCGCGTTCCCAATGGGTACCATTATGTATTGGGACTAAGTGCTGGCTCTGGCACCAGCACGAGGGCCCGTAGCTATTACCATGAGCGAGACGAAGATGATTGGTGCTAGCAGGACAAGAACCCCGTCACACACTGGAGGTAGATGAGTTTTATCATCCAGACAACCGCCATGTGGATGTGCATACTACGACTTTGCATCCAGCCCTGGGACATCAAGGCTGCCGGCGGGGGGGGGGGGGGGGGGGGGGGGAGGAGAGAAGATACAAGCAGCTGCCTCCCCGTGGAATCAGCCCTGTCGACACGATCCTAGGGCCGTGCACCTCCCTGTTGGAAGCAACGCCTGGTTTCTCTCTGTCCCCCGTTTCCTCTTTTGCACTAGAGAGCTGTTGATCTGCCAGGAGAGGCACCTGGTTCAGAGGGCCTTTGTGGAGCAGGCGTCCTTCTCTCCTGCTCCCTGCTGCCATGTCACGGGAGAGGCCACCTTCCACCCCAAGTTACAAGGCTACCACAAAAGCCCAGGGGGGGAACCCTAAAGACTGGACTCTGCACAGTTGGGGGTGAGCAGGTGGGGAAGACAAAAGAACCCCCCCACACACACACACACACCCTGATGTACAAAGAACCAACCTATGTTTTATTGTGTCCCCATTTTAAGGAAGGGAGTTTATCCAGCTGGATCTCAACCCTTGGCCGACCGTGACCCTTATCAACCGAGCCAGGCATGGAAACTCCCAATGGATCTGAGCACCATACAGCTACGCCCAATTTCTTGGTCCATCCTTTGGTCTCCACAGTGTATTATTTTGGGGGAGTCCTTCCCACCAGCGTTTTGGAAAAGCCCTCCAAGAGAGGATGGGTTTTTTGGCAAGGATGACATCTCGGTTCTCGTTCTTGCTGTTGGACTGTTCTCCTTGGGGCCAGAGAGTTGGTGGCCCCCGTCTTAATTTTCATCTTGTTTACCAATCTGAGCTAAGGATGGGGATGAAGAAGACGAAGACGGAGGAGGAGGAGGAGGAGGAGGAGGAGGGTGGTGGGGTGGGCAGAATGGCCGCGTCTTATATTGAGCTGTTGGATAACCTTTTCCTTTCCATTGTGTCCACTTTCGGGGGCAGGGGGTGGGGGTGAACTATATAGCGAAAGCAAGAAAGCAAGACAAGAACACAGCCAAAATGCAGAGTCCTCTCCAGAGGAGAATTCGTCTACTGGCCATTCCAAGGTTTCCTTTCCTTCCTAAAGGCGCCCATTCTTTACTTCTAAGTGCCTAATCTTTGGGAACCTCTTGTGGCGATGAGGCAGTTGTGGTTATATTCCCACCCACCCACCTCTAAAAAAGAATAGCTAAGAGGCAGGAGGAAGGGTTGAGGAGACCAGCTTCTCTGACCTTCTGGCATGGCTTTTAGTGGGCTCTCAACATCATCCTGAGCTTGATTTGATCTTTTCACCTTGCAAGTCTGCAGAAGGGATTTAGAAAATCAAATCAAATAAATTCAAGTTTTGTTTTAGGACGTCCGATGGGTCCTGGAAGGTGCAGAGAGAAGCCTTCTGTGTAAGGATGGATGCTTTTGCAAAACCCAATAAAACCAAGGGGGAAGGGATGCTTCAGCTCCTCGGATTTAAATCCACGTCTTGGAGACTGAATCTCGGGAGCGCTTCGGTGGGGGGCGAATCCTTTGCCCGACGGCATTTGGTTGGAGTTAATTCTGATTCTCAGGGATGAGATTCCGTTTTTATTTCTTGTCTCTCAAGCCCCATTTTGGGTCTGTATGCTTGTCTGTGTGTCTGTGTTGTTTTTATTTTAATTTTTTTAATGTCCTGCACGCACAAGGTTTAGTGTGCATGCGTACACTCGTTCCGAATTCAGGAAGTCTAGTCTTGTTAGGGAATCAAAGCAAAGGTGTCTTTAGCAGGTTCTGAGCGGTCCTGGAGAACCGGTAGCAGACATTTTGAGTAGTTTGGAGAACCAGCAAATGCCACCTCTGACTGGCCCCACCCCCATCTCTTCTCTGCCTCCCATCGAGTCCCAGATGATCAGCCGGGTCTCCTTTGGTTGCCCTGCACAGGAGAACTGAGCTGGAAAGCAGGTTAGTGGGGTGGGGAGGGAAGGAGGATTTTGCAGTATCCTTCCCCTGCCACACCCACCAAGCCACACCCACAGAACTGGTAGTAAAAGTGTTTGAATCCCACCACTGAGCCAAACCCTTGCTTTGAAAGATGCCAAACTGCTGCTCTGGAAGATGTTTGGAAGACGTGACCCATTTCATTGACGGAAGATACCTTCAGCCCAAAGCAGCTGAGGTTCTGGGCAAGGAGGAGGTTAGGAAGAGAGAAGGAACAGAGCCAAAATAATTGTCAGAAGCGAACTGGTGGGGGAGAAAACACAGAGCAAGAGTCTGTTTTGACATGACACTTTCCAAGTAACTTAAAATACCTTTAAAAAGACAATGTGTGAAGGTGCCCACGGGAGGCATTTGCTAGTCAAAGGAGAGGATTCCCACCGGTATTTTCACCTTTGAAAGTAAATCCAGGTTTCATCTGAACGGCGGTGGGAGAAAAGAGGGAAGGGAAGAACATTTGCAGAGCATTTAAAAGCAAAGAAAGCATAATCCAGAGGCTATTCCAAGTTATAGGGAACAATTTCCATCTGAAATTGGAGGACAGGTTCCTGTTCTTGGTCCCAAAGGTGCTTTTTATTCAAGAGGCAACTGGACTTTCTGGTTTTTCTTTGAAGATGTTTTACTTCTCATCCAAGGAGCTTCTTCAGGGAAGCAAAACGCCTCCGAAGAAACACCAAGAAGTCCAGTTGCCTCGGGAAAAGAGACAACTTTTGGGACAACTATGGAAGGACCTGGGTGGCTGAGAACCTCCATAGACATTGAGCTATTCCTGCCCATCCTCTTCCAGACCAGGAATTGATTCCCAGGCCAAACCAAAGCTTTTCAGAAGCCATGACTTGCACCACCCAAAGGCGGGGGGGGGGGGCCTTGCCTGCAGCAAATGCAATTAAGTATAACCCCCCCCCCCCCAAAAAAAAAAAGTTGGAGCCCCTTGCATGAAACAATGTTATAATGCTAGGCACAAACATGGGCTTGGTTTTGCACCCAACTTGCGCTTCAGTTTGAGACGAAAGTGTCCTGTGTAGCTTTGAAAGCAGATACAGCTGGTCCTCAACTTACGGCCACGATAGAGCCCCACATTTCTGTTGCTAAGTGAGGCAGTTGTTAAGGGAGTTTTTGCCCCCCTTGTCAGGATTCTGGCAGTCACCCCCATTTAAATCTGAGGCACATCATTCACTGCCACCCTTGACCCTGGTTTCCCCCCCCCCCCCCCCCCCCCCCCCCGACAGGATCTGGATTCCCCCTTGACTTTGCTTGCCAAATGGTAGGCAAAGGGGGATCCTGGGGGACACTGCAACCATCATAAATATGAGTCAGTGGCCAAGCAGCTGAATTTTGGTCAGGTGACCCCGAGGATGCTGCAGCGGTCATAAGTGTGAGAAATGGTCCTTGGTCCCTTTTTCAGGGCTGTTATGACTTTGAACAGCCACTAAATGAACCATTGTACGTCAAAGACTGCCTGTATATTCATCCCAGTCTTTCATTTAAAGAAACATGTTGTTTTAGTTTAAAAGCATTTTCCATGTCCACCCACTTTTAAAGAACACTGCAAACCCACAGTAGTTAATCGTAGGCTAATTATTCCAAGAGGTAATATTATATTGTAGAATGGATTATATATGATATATATTTTTGCTAGGGCCCACATAGTTTTCTTTAGGCAAAGCGAGTAGAGTTGTCCTTATTCCTGAAAATATTCCTTCCCGGGAAGATCAGATACTCCCTCTCTCTCCCTCTCTCTCTCTTTTTCCCTCTCTCTCTGCCTCTCCCTCCCCCCCCCCCCCCCCCCCGCTTAGCTTGACAGTTTTAAAGAGAAAGTTTAAAAGTTGCTCCTAGATTGAGGATAAATATAAAACTTGGTATTTCAGCACTGGTCATTCCGTATTTTACATGCAAGCTGCCATAAACAAAATCCAGGAAAACTGAGGAAAAACTCAGCCCCCCCACCCCACCCCAAATGTGCCATCAAAGTCAAATTGCACTAAAATCCAATCCTAGTTCTCTTCTCCCCCCAGCCCCTTTTGAGGGGGGTAACTTAAACTCAAAGCAAAGGGACTTTTTAATTACTGCTTTTTCAAGCCAATTGGAAATGACTAACCTTTGCCATTCCCGTACAATTTTTCTGGAAAATGGCTCATTCTACGGTTAACTCTTTTTCCTATATTTTTCAACACTGGGCAGAAAATGCCCCAAAAGCGACACCTACTGATGGATCGGGGGTATTACAAGTATTTCAACACTATTTTATTTTAAAAATGCAGAGTGATTTAGCAGCTGGTAAAAAAGTGCCCTAAAGCCCAACTTCAAAAACGCGATTGCTAAGAGAAACGACATCATTTGATCTCAGAGCCTCCTTCAATGATCAATTGGATGACTTATCCAAGGGGATCAGTTGATTGTGGGGGAGGGAATCCAAGTAGTTTTAGTCCTAAAAACTGGGGGGCAGCGGAATGGAGCCTTACCTTCGGGAATTCAATTCCTCTCTCTTTTAAAAGCTGCATTTTCCAGTCTCTGATCTCCAAGTAACCTCATCCCTAGATTGCGTGTTTGTGTATGGATGCTTGCATGTGTAACACGTAAATAGGAGCACTATTAATTTTACTTTGGGCCTTAGAGCCTTCCGATTGCGCGGTCCAACAGAAGTGCAGCTGAAATGTTGGATGTTATAAGAATGGAAACAACAACAACAACAACAATAATAATAATATGAGGGCATCTTCAGAACTGCCAGAATTAGCACACAGGGCAACAAATCTTTTTCCTGATAGTTTCCCCTTTAGCGTGGGAACTAGTCCTCAACTTAAGACCATAGCTGAGCTTGAAATTGCCGCTGCCGAGCCAAGGCAGTTGTTAAGCGAGTCTTGCCCCATTTTTATGACCTCTTTCTGCCACAGTTGTTAAGCGAATCCCTGCAGGGGTTGAGTGACTCTTGTGGTCCTTAAGTGAATCTGGCTCTCCCCATTGACTTTTACTTGTAAGAAGATGGCTGGGAAGGTTACAAAGGCTGATCACATGACCCTGGGACAGAGCAACTGGCATAAGTACATGCCAGTTGCCAAGCATTTGAATTTTGGTCATGTGATCACAGGACGCCACAACGGTCATAAGTCATCATCTTTCCAGTGCTGTTGTGATTTCAAACGATCACTCAATGAACAGCTGTAAATCAAGGACCTCCTGTGGGGAATCTCTTTTCAAAATGCAAGCAGCTCTTTGTAAATTTGCATTTGGGGCATCCAAATTGGCCCAGACAAATTGCCTGGTGGTCTCTCATCCGGGATGAAGAATAGACTGGCTTGATGGAGATCAATTTTTTTCTTTTTAATGGAGGATATATGCGGGAAACCAATTAAAACTGAGAATAGTTCGTCCTTGGGTGGACACTGCATTTCTTTTTTCTAAAAAATATTATGATGATTATTTTTAAAAATGCAACAAAATAAAACTAGGGCTATGCAATGATAGAGGTACTTTTTTTTTCCATAACTCCAGTCGAGAATGGGAGCGAAATCCATCAAGCCATACAAGGCCCTCATTGTATTTTACAACTTAACCAGTTGGCATTTTTCCTTTCCCTTTTCCAGGCAAAAGCATGACTGTGACCAAATCTTTTCTACCTTTTACCAATAGGAAGGCACAAAATACTTTCTTGGGGAAAAAAATCATTGTGAATGGGTTGGTTGGTTGGTTTTATTCTGTAAACTGCTGTCCTGCATTCCCGTTTTTTCTTATTAAACCAGTATAATGCAACAATCCTGTTGAATTGTAAGTGGCGTTCGCAGCTGCTAAGTTACGGATAATTGAATAATTGAATGACCATATTTGGGAGGGGATGTCATCAGGGCGACGTCCGGGATAAGGATGCCCACTAACATTGCTACTTGTTGAGATGCGTGGAGCAGTGGCTTTGGTAACTGGCTTTCCGCTGCTTCAGAGAATCCACCCTGCTC